ACTGAAGCATACACATACAGAAAGCGCGTCTCACAGTGCGCGAGTACTCTTTCAAGTCGCATGAACGGAGAATTACACACAAAATGATGTCGAATTGTCCGTTTTGATGAGTATTCACATAAACACATTTGATTATGTCTTAAGTGAACGTAAACATTAGGGAGAACGTGTATCAGTACTTTGCATCCATTGCAACTGTGCATTCGGTTTTAAAGGGATAGCAGCCTAATTTAGTTGCTATTGTCCGAGTCATTGATGTTAATCAAGCAACAACAGAAAGACAGAAAATCACGCACTGCTCTTGACTGAAAAAATTTAGTAGCCCTAAAGATTAATCTAAATGTATTTATAGAAATAAATATGTCTGCTTGAAAGAATGAAGAATATGGTAAACAAGTTGCTATAAAGAATGCATAATTAGCCTATATAACCATTGGCATTTCATTAAAAATAAGACCACATTCTTGTTCTTTATGAGAAGTGGTTGTATTTCATTTTAACATAAAGGCATTTTGTGTGTCACCGCAGTTAAATTGGTGTCTATCATGATATAACCTTAATATCAAACCTATATAATGAGTTTGGAAATTTTAGAGAAATGCTTAATAAATGTACTGCAAAATAAACAGGGGATCTGGTGTCCTCATTGTGCCAAGGAAGTCGTGAAGGGAAGGGCAGTGTTCAGGAAGGAAGGGTCCAGGCAAGGGAACGAGTCCTGGGCCACACGCACTCCCCACTTTGGTCCAGGGTGCAAGGGGGCGGAGACTTCATCTAGCAGCTTCATCCTGCTTGGTCCACGGCGCTTCGCGGGGATAAATGGCCAGGCATCATGGCCTGTCAACCACTAATGGGTGCAGTTCATGTCCGGACCGAGGGTCCGTCAGCTCACAACTTCGGCAGCGCGGGATCCCTCTATGCTCCCTTCCTGGACCCACGAGGACACCAGCGTGCAGGCATGGGGGAAGAGACCGGTCTCTCTAGGAGAGGCACACTCGGCATTTAACAGCGGCGGTGACGAGGCTCCATTTACTTCAGGTGTGCCTCATCACATGCTGCCAGACCTGGCTGTTTCTGCGCCCCTCCTCTCACACACCCACTCCTGTCGGGATCCTGGTGAAGAGCAGCGATTAAGGGACTGGGTGATGATGATAATTAGGGGGAGGCAGCCAATCCGTCACATAAGGTAGTTGTTAAGTTTAGGTATGAGGTGTGATTGAGGGATGCAGAGTATGGTCATGCTGAATAAGTCATTGATATGTGCTTTTTAAGTACTAAAAAACAGACAATATTGTAGTAGTATGCATGCTAATAAGCAACTAGTTAATAGTGAGAATTGGTCCCTAAACTAAAGTGTTACAATTAAAACACAAAAAAGATTGTAGAGAGACATAAATTCCATAATTCCATCAAATTCCATATCAAGGACTGTCAAAAAGTTTGAAGGATTCAGTAGTTTGGTCAGTAGATCAAATTAAAAGCAGATGGAAATTACTTCTGCGGTCTTCAAGGAGGTCGCCAACTTAAGCCTTAGGGAGCCAGCACTATCCCTGAGGCCATGGGGGAGGAGAGAACACCACATTTTTTCCTTGCCACTCTCATCTTCTTCAGAGTAGGACTGTCGTTACTCCAAGGTGGAATTTGCACACAGAGATTTATATCCTAGACTTAGGGCTTCTTTCAGACAGGATGATGGCATCAGATACAGAGTTTTTTGCCACTCAGGAGATATATTCTCTCTAGCGAATCCTGGGTCTGCCCCGGGGTCTCTTCCCAGTTGGACATGCCTGAAACACTTCCACAGGAAGGCATCCAAGAAACAACCTGACCAAATGACCGAACGACCACAGCTGGCTCCTTTTAATGCAGAGGAGCAGCTACTCCAAGCCTCTCCCAGATGACAAGCTTTGTGGCCTGTCTCTCAGGGTTAGCCAATTCACCTTGCATGAAATAGATTATTTCAGTTCCTTGTAACCTAAACCCTATCTTTCAGTCACTATCCAAAGCTCAGAACAAATATCAACTGGTAAATCTCTTCACCACAACGGTCCGATATAACCACCTCTGCACTGATCTGCCTATCTATATCCATAGAGGACAATCCACCTTTTCCGGCTGAGAAACACACCTGGCCTCAAACCACCAAAGTACGTCCTGAAGGTTCCCGAAGATTAGAATCATAGACAGATAGCTCCCAAACTGGGCACCCTCCACTCCTCGAAGATTATTTCCATGAATATCCAAAACCCTCCTCGGATTACCACCTCAACATGGTGAAGGGTTAAAACTGCCTCAGCAACCCTGGGACCTGTGTTGTCTGGAGTTCCTGGTAGGGGATCCCTAGGCAAATTGCTTGAAAGGCTGAAGCACTAAAGGACTGTGAGAGGCCAAAGTGTGATCCAGCATAGTACCCTATGGGATTCAGAAAAGCGAGGGAGACCTTGCCTTGGGATACCGAGGTGCACTCCTTAAGTCAGGCCTGGGAGAAAAGTTTGTCGAGGAGTGCCTGGTGACTGGGCTCAGCCCAAGCAAACAACATGGGGCCACCTCATTGTGGACACAACACCTGCACGATAGGTATATCGGCCTAGTGTGATGCACAGCAGGCAGCAGGTGGAGAAGGGGGCCTGTGTGGACAGCATAATCTAAGCATTGTTCAGTGAGAGCAGCCACACTCTGCTGATTTGAGCCTAAATTTGACTCTTTTAGGCTTCCATCGTAATCAATTCCTTTAAACGAGGGCTAGTCGGCCTACCATTATTTAGTTGCTTTTCTCATTTACGTGAATGAACAGAAATGCCCAACTATATGTGATATAGTTTTAAACTCACAACAGAAAGTGGAACTCCAATCAGGAAAACTGATTTCATTGTTTTTGTCCCCCAGATGCTTCACAATGAGAAACAAACAATATATATTTATTCTCTTATGATGCTGCTAAAAATAACATTATTTTGTGTATTTGGTGTAATGAAATGTGTTTATGAGGTTTAAGGTTCAAAAAACAAATTTTCCTCAGCGACCAGCACGGACTAGCTCCAGGCATGACGAAGCAGATATCGTCCTCTTTTGGAAGGCCAACCAAAGTAGCTTCGCTTTCACAACGAAACACAGCGCCTTCATGACATGGCGGTGGCGGCAACAACAATACTACAGCGAGAATAAAAGTTACGCCTTCTTTCTTTGCGTGAATATTTGGGCGGCGTTACGCAAATCTTCCCACATCATGACGTAGACATGTGGGGGCGTGTTAGAATGAGCCGTTTTAGGTAGGCGTGGTTGACTCTTAACTTTTATAAAGAATATCTCTTTGGATTTGAAACTTTAGTCTTTGCAACTTTACAGATCTTCTTTTTGCACCAAGAGCTTGTAACACTCCAAAGAGTGCATAATATGACCCCTTTAACACAGAGACTTTGCATGGCTGTTGAAGCAAGAATGCTGATCAACGGAAAGAATGTGTCCTAAAAATATAGGTATTTGAATCTATATATTAATCTTGAGAAATGTTAAGGTCTTCAATTTATGAGATTGCTCATTATTTATTACTGATTATTTGATCAATTCAAAGTTGATCACTCAATAGAAAGAAAAGAAAAGCAGGATGCAAAATTAAATCCACGTTTGCACTGATGCTGCAACAGAAGTTGATGGTCAAAATGGCTTTAGAACAGGACATAATACTTAGGCATACTGAACTGCAACCAGTAAACAAATGGGAGTTCTCAACAAAGTTTTGGGAGGAACATGCTCATGTAATCTGACAAATCACAACATTGCTTACCTCATTCCTGTGATAATTCTTCAACCGGATGCCTCCTCGCATCTAATTACTGGATTTAAAAGAGTCTCACATTGGCCTCTTTGATGGATGTGTATCTCCTAGCCACAAACTTGTGAGGTTTGAACAAAGAAAGAGGTTGCGGTGTTAACTAAAACCATACAGTCTGCCTGCCCCATGCTTGCTCATAACTGAATAGTAATTCACCATATCCACTACATGCACATGGGGGACTACTATTTAGCATTATATTTTGCATGTTAAGTCCCTTTTGTTCAACTGAAGTCAAACAGCTTAGTGTGAGGAATTTAGGAGAAACAAACTGCTATGTAGCGTCCACCTGGTTACAGAATTCCTTCAACTCTTTTGCTTTCCCTAAGTACATAGACCAAAATACATAGAGACATGAACTAACAATTGGATTTTATAAATAAACAGTACCCTTTTTATAATTTATCATTTTCCCCCCCAAAAATACTTGTCACAAGATAAAGGCTTGCTTTTTTTGTTTGTTTGTTTGTTTGTTTTTTGGGGGGGGGGGGGGGGGGGGGTGCACACCATTTACAGTAGGCAAAATATACCCAAACTTTCAGAAGTTTATTATTATTTATGTAGACTATTGTAGTAGTCTCACTGAGATATTTTAAATGATTCAACACATGGATGTTAAAATCATGTGCATTAACACAGAACATTGTGTTTCGCATGTTAAGTTGTGTATATGTTTTGTGTTCATGCTGAGCTTATTCCAATACATTCTGTATTTGGTTGTCTTGCATGCCCTGTGCATTTGACTTTTCCCTCAATGACAGTGGCTCAGTGGTGTTGAGAATCAGTTTTGCCATTCAGAGCAATCAAGAAACTCATATACAACTATCCCAAAACAATGCACTCAGTCATCAGTGCGCAAGGAGCAAACAGACAATGTTGCAGACCATAACTCTAAGCCCTGGAACCCTAACATATGTTAACTTACTTTTTTAAATGCTGAGCATCTTACAGTTTTGCAACAGGTGTGTGATGAACACAACTGCGTTCTATAGAAATCCATATCATAGAGATTGCCAGTGAGGTAGTATAACAGGATTTTCCTCAGTTTAATTGATTCTTCACATATTGTCAGATAAAACAGAGCAAACGTCTTGAGATTCTATATACATATTTAATTGAACCCCCCACCCCCACAGACAAAAAAAAATCACTTATTACATACTGCATTTACAATTGTATTTACAATAGCATATTTAACTATCACAATGAATATAGCATGGAATATAGCAACTTACTTACTGAAAATGTGTTGAGGCTAAGTTCTTAGCATTTGTTCAATTCCAACTGCATTTTCAACAACACTTGTTCCCAGACAATCATTTACAGAATAGTTTTGCACAATGCTTTCTTTTGTACCACAACCCTTTGCCAAATACATTAGATGGTTCACTTTGATGAAATCTATTGGTCTCATTGGCCAGCAATACTCTCATTTCTTTGGACACTGTAAAGGAACGTTCTTTTGGCTAAAGAGTATATACGTGACAGGACTATACTTGATCTCAAAAGCATTTACTGTGACCCTGACAATATTCTCAGACCGTTTTCTCAATTAATTGTGGCAAAACTATATATATAAAAGAAGATTAATACAATTTACGTCAAAAAAGGTTGAATAGAAAATAAGGAAAACCACTGAGAGATCATGTCCTCGTCTTGCTTGGCTAGGTATTCCAAGAGATATGTTTGCAAAATGAGTATCAGGGAACCTGGTTTGAAGTTCTGCAGCACCATGCAGTTAAATTCTTACATTCATAAATAGTCCAAAACTGATGTCCTTACAAGAGAAACAAGTAGAAATAAATAAATAAATAAAAACTAAATAATAATAAATCAATCTTTCTTATCCGAGGCTCTCTGCATTTGGAAAATAATAAAGAAAGAAGAAGAAGAAGAAACAACAAAACCTACTCTCACAGTCTCAAAGTCAGTTGGATTTAGAAAAAGAACAGCCAAGCTGGAGACCATAAAGAGAGAAGGTCAAGTCCAAACATTTCCTGTCTCATCGTAATTTTGACTTTCCATATATGTTGCGTTGCACTGTTACGACTTTCTCAAGGCAGGCTAGCCGGGTTTCATGAAGTGAACTGTGCCATAAAGTGCCGCCTGGTCTCGTGCCATCACTGCGACACAGCATGTACGGCACACTCTCTGTTCGGCTTTGGATGAAGCCACTGCGGAGTAGTGAGCGGCAGAACAGACTGATCCGATCCATTCGTCTCAGGATCAAATGGGCCTTCCTGTGGTGACCAGAAAGAGAGCTGTTAGTGTTAGACTTAATTAAAGGGTTAGTTCACCCAAAAATGACAACCGATTTTACCGATCTCCTTGCTACGTTTCTGGATGTTGATCATGGTAGTACCCTTGCTGTCTATGGGAGGGGAAGAGAGCTTTCAGAATGCATCAAAAATATCTTAATTTGTGTTCCGAAGATGAACGGAGGTCTTACGGGTTTGGAACGACATGAGGGAGAGTAATTAATGACATCATTTTCATTTTTGGGTGAACTACCCCTTTAAGGTGGTGTATTTGTCCAGAAACCAAAATACTTTTCAAATCAAAGTCAGTATGGTACCTAACGTGCGCAAAAAAAAGGGTTGCATTTGAGGTAATTATAGCCACTTAATTTTAGGTCGTTTAACCGTTTTTTTTACTTTATATATATATTTCGTTTTTATAGTCTTGAACATCCTTATTTTTCTTTAAATATATTACAAATATAATTTAAAGGCAATTGTTTTTCTTTCTTTCTTTTTTTTATTTTTTTTTTATAAAATGCCAAAAACTAATGGCTTACATTAAAATTATTTATTTCTTACAATGAAAACAATGGTTCTAAAAATAAATAAATAAATAAGTACACAAAAAAATAAAAATAAAATAAACTGTGTTTAGTGTAGTATAAAAAGGAGGAAAAAAGTGTAAAACTACACAGTGCACACATCCATTAAAAATTGCCTGCTCGACAATTATATATCCTTTTTTTTTTTCAAAGACACAATATGATCAAAAGTTTTTTTTAAACATTTTTTTATGAAACATATGCCCTGTTTTAGGACAAGCATTATTTACTGCTCCAAAATATGATATTTTATCCTAATGCAAATCCTGTGTTGATATTCATAAAGATTATTGGTTCCTCCCAAAAAGGGAAAATTAACTGTAATTGGTGGTCTAGGTTTCATTCCCCTGCTAGCTCTTCCAGAGAACAGATTACACAAACATTCTCAGAGAGTTTAGGATGGCAAACCTTCTGATGGCCCCAGCCAAAGCAGAGCTAAACCAGGGGCCGGTGGAAGGGACTGTACACACTTACTCTTTGTATCTTGCCTAAAAATATAGAGGCTGTTCATAAACACCTACATATTCTCAAGCAACCCTTAAATATGTATGGATGTACAATAACAATATATCACAGCAAGTGGCCTTCCAGCAGTAATGAAATGATTATGAATTTGCACTTAAATATGTACTGAAGTCCTACTTGAGTGGGTCAAAAAAGCACTCTAAAGTTTAGTATAAATTCAAATTATAATACTTTTTCATTTAATTGCAATTAACATGCAATTAACTGAATTACATTCAGTTTGTTCTTAAGTATATTCTTTTAAAGTAAAAGATCCATAAAAAGTACTCTTTTAAAAAGTATGCTAAAGTGTACAGTATTTCTTTATCATAAGGATCACTACATTAATTATCAACATGCTCTACTAACGGTTACCAATCACAACGATTTTGTTAGCTGAATGTGGCCCAAATCTGTTAATTGGATCAAAGTGGTGTGAGCAGTCTGAAGTGCATTGAATCTATTTCTATACATATCTTATTGTGTGTGTGGTCATGTGACAGGATGCCACCTTTGCATTAAATCAGTTCCAGAAATTTCTCCCCTGCTAGATATTTCAGGTAACACTTTAAGGACCGATTCTTACTATTAACTAGTTACTTATCAGCATGCGTATTACTAGCATATTGGCTGTTTATTAGTACTTATAAAGGACATATTAATGCCTTATTCTGCATGACCACATTCTAGATCCCTTAATCCTACACCATATCTAAACTTAATAACTATCTTACTAACTATTAATAAGCAGAAAATTAGTAGTTTGTTCAGGGAAAACTCTTAGTTAATAGTGAATACGTGTTCCCTATTCTAAAGTATTACCTATTTTACGGTCAACTGTAAGTGGTATTATTGGAAAGTGGAAGTGTTTAGGAACAGCAGCAACTGAAGACCTCATATAGTCACAGGTGCATAAAAGTCACCAACATAGCTGAAGAGATCCAAACTTCCAACGACATTCATAACAGCACAGAAATTGCACGGCACGAGCTTCATGGAATGGGTTTCAATGGCCAAGCAACTGCATGCAAGCCTCACATCACCAAGTGCATGCCAATCGTCTGATGGAGTGTGTAAAGCACACCCCCACTGGACTCTGGAGCAGTGGAAACCTGTTCTGTGGAGAGACGAATTATGCTTCTCTGTGTGGCAGTCTGATGAGCGAGTCTGGGTTTGGCAAATGCTAGGAGACCTGCCAGACGGCATTGTGCCAACTTTAAAGTTTGGTGCAGGAAGGATAATGGTATAGGGCTTTTTTTTCAAGGGTTGGGCTAATAAAGGGAAATCGTAATGCTTCAGCATAACACAACATTTTGGACAATGCTACACAGCAAAATCCCCAGAGTTAAATGAACTATGCTCAGAGTCCATATTGTCCCAATCTACAGAGTGTTAAAGTAACACTGAAGCAGAGTTACCACTGTTGAGGATTATGTGATATGTTTTCATGTCTAAAAGCCTGAGCTGTAGTTGTTCATCTTCAACATTGTTAACAGCGGGTTTTCTTTACTAATGTTGACTCATCAATTAATTAATTGCTTAATTATCCCATTAAATTTAACTCGGCTTCAGTGTTACTTTAACACTCTGTAGATTGGGACAATATGTACTCTGAGCAGAGTTGATTTAACTCTGGGGATTTTGCTGTGTATGCTTCCAACTTTGTGGGAACAGTTTGGAGAAGGGCCTTTTCTACTCCAGCATGACTGTGCTCCAGTGCACAAAGCATGGTTGGATGAGTTTTGTGTGGAAGAACTTGACTGGCCCGCTGACCTCAACCCCATCCAACACCTTTGGGACAAACTGGAATAGAGACTGCCAGCCAGGCCTTCTCATCCAAAACCAGTGCCTGACCTCACAAATGGCAAAACTTCCTACAGAAACACTCCAAGATCTCGTAGAAAACCTTCCCAGAAGAGTGGAAGCTGTTATAGCTGCAAATGGGGGACCAACTTAATATTAATGACAATGTATTTAGTCAAGTCCCTGTTGGTGTAATAGTCAGGCGTCCCAATACTTTTGTCCATAAAGTGTATCATGACTGCATGCTTCACAATTCCAAGGTGGAAGGTATACTCCGTTTTATACCATATCTATTGTTTTGTCATTTAAAACCTACAGTAACATACTTCTTTTTGTGAAATGTTTGGCTTGAAAGGTGTGCTTATCCTATTTTGCGTTAACATATATGTGACCCTGGACCACAAAACCTTAATTCACTGGGGTATATTTGTAGCAATAGCCAAAAAAAAAAAAACATTGTATGGGTCAAAATTATCGATTTTTCTTTTATGCCAAAAATCATTAGGATATTAAGTTAAGATCATGTTCCATGAAGATATTTTGTAAATTTCCTACCATAAATATATCAAAACTTCATTTTTGATTAGTAATATGCATTGCTAAGAACTTCATCTGGACAACTTTAAAGGCGATTTTCTCAGTATTTAGATTTGTTTGCACGCTCAGATTCCAGATTTTCAGATAGTTGTATCTCAGCCAAGTGTTGTCCTATCCTAACAAACCATACAGCAATGGAAAGCTTATTTATTCATCTTTCAGATGATGTATACATCTCAATTTCGAGAATTTACTAATGTTCACTCATCAATTAATTAATTGCTTAATTATCCCATTAAATTTAACTCGGCTTCAGTGTTACTTTAACACTCTGTAGATTGGGACAATATGTACTCTGAGCAGAGTTGATTTAACTCTGGGGATTTTGCTGTGTATGCTTCCAACTTTGTGGGAACAGTTTGGAGAAGGGCCTTTTCTACTCCAGCATGACTGTGCTCCAGTGCACAAAGCATGGTTGGATGAGTTTTGTGTGGAAGAACTTGACTGGCCCGCTGACCTCAACCCCATCCAACACCTTTGGGACAAACTGGAATAGAGACTGCCAGCCAGGCCTTCTCATCCAAAACCAGTGCCTGACCTCACAAATGGCAAAACTTCCTACAGAAACACTCCAAGATCTCGTAGAAAACCTTCCCAGAAGAGTGGAAGCTGTTATAGCTGCAAATGGGGGACCAACTTAATATTAATGACAATGTATTTAGTCAAGTCCCTGTTGGTGTAATAGTCAGGCGTCCCAATACTTTTGTCCATAAAGTGTATCATGACTGCATGCTTCACAATTCCAAGGTGGAAGGTATACTCCGTTTTATACCATATCTATTGTTTTGTCATTTAAAACCTACAGTAACATACTTCTTTTTGTGAAATGTTTGGCTTGAAAGGTGTGCTTATCCTATTTTGCGTTAACATATATGTGACCCTGGACCACAAAACCTTAATTCACTGGGGTATATTTGTAGCAATAGCCAAAAAAAAAAAAACATTGTATGGGTCAAAATTATCGATTTTTCTTTTATGCCAAAAATCATTAGGATATTAAGTTAAGATCATGTTCCATGAAGATATTTTGTAAATTTCCTACCATAAATATATCAAAACTTCATTTTTGATTAGTAATATGCATTGCTAAGAACTTCATCTGGACAACTTTAAAGGCGATTTTCTCAGTATTTAGATTTGTTTGCACCCTCAGATTCCAGATTTTCAGATAGTTGTATCTCAGCCAAGTGTTGTCCTATCCTAACAAACCATACAGCAATGGAAAGCTTATTTATTCATCTTTCAGATGATGTATACATCTCAATTTCGAGAAATTGACCCTTATGACTGGTTTTGTGGTCCAGGGTCACATATGCCATTTGTGTTTTAAAAATGACTTTTTTTTTTTTCTATCTGATTAGATTGGATAACACTTTAGATTAGGGAACACTTATTCACTATTAACTAAGCGTTTTCCTTCAATAAACTCCTAATTTGCTGGTAGATCCAGAATATGGTCATGCATTCAATTGTGCTTTATAGGTACTAATAAACAGCCAATATGATACTAACTAGTTGCTTATTAGCATGCATAGTATTGAGTAGCGTTCCCATATCTAAAGTGTTACCTTGATTGTCCTTAGTAAAGAAATTAGTAAATGGTGGGAGATGGAGGTTAGTCTCTGAGAGAAAGAAAGCAAAGGACTGACAAAGTACTGCAGCGCTATCATCAGGAGCACTGCTTTGTTCGGTTATTGTCTTCGTCACCTGGGGCCAAGCTCATCCTCACTTCTCCACACAAAGTCTCCAAACTTCTCGTAGTGGGAATTGTAGTGATGTTGTACACGATACAGCAGTGGGGGGGAGATCTCCATCAGGGTGTTGTAGGCCGTCTGTTGCTCCTTTCCACTGGTGTAGCCATTATAGAGGTTGTACACTTTGTCTGCGATCTCTGTTTGAGGGGAAAGCATATCTGACATTTGAAATCTGAACTGTCTGTTTTCAAAGAATGTGAAATTGTTTCAGATGTTTTCTCTTATTTTTAATGACTGACAAATGACTGCCTGTTTTTTTTTTTTTAAACCTTGTGAAAAAGAAGTGCACTTTAGCATACTTTTATAAAGAATAGTTATTAGGAAATGTAAATACTTTAAAAGAATATGCTTAAGTGTGAACTAAATGTGCAACTGCATGTTAAATGCAATTAAATTAAAGTGTATTATAGTTAATATTTATATTATTCCCACTTAAGTTGGGCTTAAGTACATTATTATATTTAATTTCAGAATTACTTTCATTGTGTTTGAAATATGATTAAAATGGACTGCTGAATGTACTGACAATCATTTTTGGTAAACTAAAATGTACTTTAATGTCTTTTCTACTCAAACTTGTACATCATCTATTTAAATATATTTTGTATTATACATTTATAGCTGCAATTTAGTACTTTTAACTTTAAATTTAATATTGAATAACACACTACAGTTAAAATTATACTCAAGCGCTTTAGCTTCTTTAAAGCATGACAATATTATTAAAACAATTATTTAAAATGTACTTTATTCTAAAACTTTTTATTTGACATCATTACAAAGTGCACTTTTTAGTAGTGTACTTAAATGGGTTAAGAAACCTTCTCTCTTTAAATGCACTTAAGTGGCATTATATTTCATTAAGATCATATCTAGATATTCAGCTTTTTAAAATATACTTTTAGGATTTGAAGTACACTATAAGTGCATATTCAATACAATTTGAAGTACACTACAAGTGCATATTCAATATAATTTGAAGTACACTACAAGCAGCAGTGGGGGGGAGATCTCCATCAGGGTGTTGTAGGCCGTCTGTTGCTCCTTTCCACTGGTGTAGCCATTATAGAGGTTGTACACTTTGTCTGCGATCTCTGTTTGAGGGGAAAGCATATCTGACATTTGAAATCTGAACTGTCTGTTTTCAAAGAATGTGAAATTGTTTCAGATGTTTTCTCTTATTTTTAATGACTGACAAATGACTGCCTGTTTTTTTTTTTTTAAACCTTGTGAAAAAGAAGTGCACTTTAGCATACTTTTATAAAGAATAGTTATTAGGAAATGTAAATACTTTAAAAGAATATGCTTAAGTGTGAACTAAATGTGCAACTGCATGTTAAATGCAATTAAATTAAAGTGTATTATAGTTAATATTTATATTATTCCCACTTAAGTTGGGCTTAAGTACATTATTATATTTAATTTCAGAATTACTTTCATTGTGTTTGAAATATGATTAAAATGGACTGCTGAATGTACTGACAATCATTTTTGGTAAACTAAAATGTACTTTAATGTCTTTTCTACTCAAACTTGTACATCATCTATTTAAATATATTTTGTATTATACATTTATAGCTGCAATTTAGTACTTTTAACTTTAAATTTAATATTGAATAACACACTACAGTTAAAATTATACTCAAGCGCTTTAGCTTCTTTAAAGCATGACAATATTATTAAAACAATTATTTAAAATGTACTTTATTCTAAAACTTTTTATTTGACATCATTACAAAGTGCACTTTTTAGTAGTGTACTTAAATGGGTTAAGAAACCTTCTCTCTTTAAATGCACTTAAGTGGCATTATATTTCATTAAGATCATATCTAGATATTCAGCTTTTTAAAATATACTTTTAGGATTTGAAGTACACTATAAGTGCATATTCAATACAATTTGAAGTACACTACAAGTGCATATTCAATATAATTTGAAGTACACTACAAGTGCATATTCAATATAATTTGAAGTACACTACAAGTGCATATTCAATATAATTTGAAGTACACTACAAGTGCATATTCAATATAATTTGAAGTACACTACAAGTGCATATTCAATATAATTTGAAGTACACTACAAGTGCATATTCAATATAATTTGAAGTACACTACAAGTGCATATTCAATATAATTTGAAGTACACTACAAGTGCATATTCAATATAATTTGAAGTACACTACAAGTGCATATTCAATATAATTTGAAGTACACTACAAGTGCATATTCAATATAATTTGAAGTACACTACAAGTGCATATTCAATATTATTAAGCACATTTCTTTTGAAAATGAGAACCAAACATCAGATTTCATAACATGCTTTAATTCTTTCTTAACACATATTATCACATTATAACTTGCAACGCAAGTCCTATATTTCCCTTCCTTTGAGTGAACTTTCTGTAATCTTACTTCTGTATTGACATGGATTTTGAGTGCTGTACATCCCTGTGATTTATACTGCTGCCAGACCTGTGAATTCTATTCAAGTAAAATGGTCTAGCCACTATGGATGATGTAATCATAAACAGACAGGACATGAAGATCTGCCACCTCAGATGGGTGTGAAGATGACATTTCACTGGCGCGCGGCTCACTCTGTTCATTCACACGTGTGAATGGAGTGAAGGAGAATGGCAGTGTACCTTCTGCTTTGCTGTCATCCACCATCGGACATGACGTGCGGACGGTCACAAAACTCACATCCGACCGACTACCACGGCTGTCGACGGCATACAGAGTGAACCTAGAAGAGAGGACGGGGTGGACGTGAGAAAAAGTCTGCTTCAGTGTGTTTCCTAATCTCTGTCTTTAAGTTCCATGCAACTGAAACACAAACAGACATTTGCACAAATAGAGCTGAAAAAACACAAAATAACTTTGGGATTAGCCAAAATAAACATGACATCATGCGACAAATTCATTAAAACCGAAAGGTGTCCCTGAAAGAGTGTTTCTGGAGTTCTTGTTTATGAGCCTCAGACCACTGAAAACACACAGGCAGGAGTGTAGGGATTCCAGTAGATTCTGTTACATTAGGAAATTGCGTGCCCGACCAGCAAAAAAACCCCCTGGCCATTACAGCTAATAGCAGCTTAAATGGGACTCCCACTTCCTCTAATGACGGAGTTCCGTTTGGCAAATACAAAACACATTAAAACTGCTGCTCAGCATTTTCTCAGACCACCCAGCACCATGTGCGCTAAACAACCCTGGCTCCACTGCTAATCACAGGGAAAAACCGCCCACCATCAGCTGGCATGAACACTTGGGTCATTGAGGTGTCTGATCCTTACTAGTTAACTACGTTTGACCGTCTATGTGTAGTCTAACTAACTATGCCTAGTTATTGTTATTAGCAGAGGCTATTTGCACTAAGTGTAGAAACAAATCTAAGAGAAATATGTGGCCTCTTTGGATGCTGTGCAGGGATATACACACCATATAAACAGGTTAAAAATAGGTCTAAATATCATGGAACTCGTAGACCACTCCACCTCAGTCACCATTTTACTCTTTCCACTTGCGACAGGTGAAAGGAAGTAGAAGAAGAAGAAAATAAAATCAAGCCTACATTACTTGCAAATATCTTCCCAACTCAAAAAGTACTGTATGAAATGTTATCTTACTCCAGTGCAACTGTCACGTCATGTTTGTTCTTAATGGCTCTTGAAACACTAGTTCTTGATGACAACCACCCTACAAGATTCATAGTCAGATCTCTGGATTGCTCTGTGCATCAGAGTTGGCTCTGTTGAGCAGGTTTTTCAAACAGTCTGAACATTAGCCACAACGAATTTGTAGTCTCTTACTCAATTCCTCCAGCCCCATCAGCTATCCAAAGTTGCACTCACGTTTATGCTCAAAACAAAATAATTTTTTCTCACTCTATAACATTATTTTCAGTCATGATAAATTTTCCGCCATTTTTAATAACCCCCCCCCCCCCAAACTCTTCCTAGACCGCTGCTCCATTTGACATGGAAATCGAACCACAACATCTTAAGACCATGGCGACAAAAAGTAGTGGAATTCAAGTTAATTAGTCAAACCGTTCTGGAATAACGCATGAACAAATTCGACGTAGAGCACACCAAATTGGGCAAGAGGATATATCTCCACAATGCTTTAGTGTATTCAAACCAAACTTGGTGTGTGTCATGACAACCATTATCGAATGGTACTTGCACAGTTTCGGCACAGTGCCACCTAGTGGTAAGGACACATGAAAAATGGCAAAAACAGCCAAGCTATAAGCATTTTATAATTTTTTTTCTGAACAGTTTGGCCAAAAAACACAAGACTGGCCTCTTTAGTTTCGGTGCAAATTATTGAGTCAAACAACACCCAATTTTGCCATGTCCATCAAACAATTTGAGTTATGTCATAAAATGCTGTATTGTACGAACGCATTGGCGAATCGTTGCGAAACTCAAAATGTGTCATTGCCACCATGCCCTGAAGATACTCAAACAGTTTTGGAACAGCGCCACCTGTCTTAAATCTTAACGAATGCTAATACATTTTGATTAATTTTAACTATTGTCATGAAAGTGGTCTTGATCAAGATTATTTGGGTCATACTGCGAACAAAGATACCAATTATGCCATAGTCCTCTCTGCCATTTTGATTTTACTTAAGAATCGACATAAAAAAAAAAACCTCCTAATAGACCATGGATGCGATTTTCACCAAATTTGAATCAGATCATCTTCATACAATTCTGGCAAACTGTTATGGATTTCACATTGACAGACAACATTGTTTTCATTTACGACAACAATGAATTTGATGGTGTGATGCCAAACTGCATCTGAGGCTGTATCCCTGCAAGGCTTTGACATATTAACACCAAACTTGGTGTGTGTCATTGTCACCCAACACTGATCACACCAGACAAATTTGGAGTCAGCGCCACCTATTGGTCACAACTAATAAGCAATTATGTCACACTGAAAGTGATTGTATTTATGGGATTTCAACAATTTTGGTAAAAAAGTAATTTCCAAATGCCTTTATTTACTAATTTTTGAAGTTGGTCTGATGCTCAATGCTTGCTTGCTCATCATTTTGCCCCTATAGTGCTTGGCCCCTTATATTTAATTACTATTGCCGATCTTCCCAAGCTGTTGCAACAAAGCTGAAAGCACACACTTTTGTAGAATGCCACTGCATGTCATTACTGGGAATTACCCAAACCCATTAATTAGAAAGGGAAGTCTACATGATTTCGGCCATACTATGGAGTAAGAGCTATGAAATGAAACGCGTTGCTGCACAAAAACTGTGTGTGTTATACTTGTATAACAATGTTAAAATGTTAGTAGATATTGAATACTCAATACCATGCTGTATTGTGAATATAGTCCCAGATGAAGGTGAAACAAAAATGACGGCCATTTGTGATGACTATATTCACAATAGCCTCTCATATTTTATGACTTAAATAATAAAGGCTCTTAAACATGCCTCATAACCTCAGTATAGCTCCAGATCTTGGTACAGCTGTATGGTACAGTACGTCAAGTTTACTGTAACCATGACTTAAGTAGATTTGCATTCAATACTGTCCAAGTTTATATGCAATGTGCCAGCATCAGATTAAGTCAAAAAGCACATTTTAAATATTTATTTCAGTTCCTTCATTACGAGAAATGCTGTTGTGCGGTCATACCGTAAACCAACATTGCATGCATCCAACCCCAAGTTGCCAGTCAGAGCAGACATTTCTTCATTCCAGCTTTTTTTTATAACAAGCACTGCTGCCATCAGATGAATTTGATGTATCTGATGAAATGGATATGCACTCTGACTACACATAAGACAACCGAAAAATGCCAGAAATTTATTTTCCCTGCTTCCAAAGAGACATTTCTTTACACGGCACGGTTTCGACACTTTGACTCTTCCTTTGCTTGGAAATCCATATTTCAATAACCACCGGCTGATTGTTTTGTTTGTAATACAGTCTGTTTATATGGCTTGCATAGTTTGCCTGATCTTGTTATTCAACGAAGGAGTGTGGCATTCCTTTGCTAAACCTCAGCAAAAGACATCACTCCAAATGCAGGCCAGCCACCATCCACTGCCAATCTCATCAGAACAACACTGGCTCAAACAATCACATTGTTTGAATTATGTGGTTGCAGGGTCGCCCAGTAGAGTATTTTTTTTTTTCAGACAATTTGTAGTTTGGTTTAAGAACTTCAGACGGGGAACTCTGGAATAGTTGCTGTTTTGGGTTGTATAAGGTGTTGCAAAGATGGCAAAGGTACTTTTTGTGGTTACGTGCTCCGAATTAGCTCTCACTCTACCTTACACTCTTAAAGTAAAGGTTCGAAAGGGAGGTTTTCACAGTGATGCCATAGAAGCAGCATTTTTGGTTCCCCAAAGAACCTTTCAGTGAACAGTTCTAAAAACAAAACTGAGATTCACAAGAATTACAGTGAGAATGATATGATTTGATTTGATATGTTATGCATTATACTGAATTAGCTCTCACTCTACCTTATGCTCATGAAAATGAGTGTCCCAAAAGGAGATTATCATAGCGATACCATAAAATGACAATTTTTTTTAGTTCCCCAAAGCACCTTTAAATAATCAGTTCTTAAAAGAACAATATTTTTTCTTAATGTGAAGAATGTTTTAATGGTCTAAATAACCTTATTCCACTATAAATAACCTTTTGTGCAATGGAACAATTGCATGGATGTTAAAATTGCTTAATGCAACCATTTTTTCCCCCTGTAGTTTTCTTCAGAATACTTCATGTTTCTTATCTTTGCTTCTCGCTGAATGTCACGTGCCATTAAAATCCAACTCCAAGTTTGAGGAACTCTGTGAACAATTGGCAGTGATAAAGATCACCCAGGAGAACAAAGGCAAAGTGGTCTGGCTCATCGCTGGGAATGTCAAAACACGCCGGCAAAACACACATTCCTCTGCCTGGCTGACACGTTCTGAATCTCTCTTTTTTTCTCACATCAGCTTCACCATTCTCTGGTTACTCCTGTATATTTGGCTTTTCTCAGCTCATGGCTATTTTGATTTCTGGCACCTATCGTTCAGCTGTTAAATTAGCTGTTTTTGGCTAATCTGAGCACAGATTGAGACACTGTTGAGATCTTCAACAGACAGACGTATAGCTGTTTTCCGCAAAGTTCAGCAAACATCGCCATTTGCTCACAATTTAATCTCATATTTCTAGAACACACTGAGATGTCAACTGAGAACGAGTGGTACTTGCACTTTGCTATACAGTGACTGTTGTTAGTGGTGGTCAAGGCATTGCTGTACAATGTTTTGAGGGATTTTTTTTAGCATTTCAGAAGTAGGGGTGTGTAATATTGACAACAAATAAAATCTCAGTATTTGGGATTAGTTTGTCGATAATGATAATTAAACAATATTTTGTTCAATATAGTGTGTTTTGGTGCTGGTAATTTGGCTGGTTTAGGCCTGTAATGCATATTTATGATGCTAAAACTGCCAGTAGGTGGTGGACAAGTCCCTTTCTTAATGAGTGAGTCATTGATCATTCATTCAAATGATTCATTCAACATGGCTGATTCATTTAGAATTGAAGCAAGTGACTGTCTAGTTATGAATGGATCATTGAATCACTGACTCAAATGGTTAGTTCAAAAACAGATTCATTCAGGAATGAAACACCACAGTGTTGCTCTGAGATGAACTAACGTTCTGATTGACTTTTTTGGAACTATTTTTGTTGACGAAAATGT